ACTATGTCCCTCCACTCTCTCCTTGCCCGTAGTGTTTCTTCGGAGAAGTCTGATGTCAGTCTGATTGGTTTTCCTTTGAATGTTATCTGTTTCTTCCCTCTTGTCAGCTTCATTATTTTTCTCTTGTTTTGGATTCTTGGGAGCTTTACTATTATGTGTCTTGCTGTATTTTTCCTTTCGTCATGGAAGTTTGGTGTTCTTGCTTCTTATATATCAATTTTCAGCTCCTTCTTCACTTTGGGAAGTTCTCTTCAATTATTTCCTTGAATATTTTCTCTGTTCCTATATCTCTCTCCTCTCCTTCTGGGATTCCTATAACTCTTACATTTCCTTTCCTCATGGAGTCAGATAGTTCCCGAAGTCTTTCTTCAGTCTTTTTCCTTTGTACTTCTCTTTCATTTTCTGTTTTGGTTCTTTTTATTTCTGTGTCTTCAAGAGTACTTATGCATTCTTCCATTTCATCTATTCTGCTTTCTTTGCTTTCCCCAGAGTTCTTTAGCGCCTCCATTTATTCTTTGATCTCCTGTTTTTCTTTTGCTTCCCTCTTTAGGGACTCAATTTCATTCTTCTGAGCATTGTTTTCCTTAATGACTTCCATCAGTTTTTTCATCACTGCAATTTTAAATTCTTTTTCTGGAAGGCTCAGAAGTTCTTCCAAGTCACCGTAGTTGCAAGCTGGTGGGTGGTTTTTTTTTTTGTGGTGTGTCTTTTTTCTGAGGCATTGCTACTTTGCTTGTAGTTTTTCTTTTCCCTGCTGCCTGTCTTCTAATTTGCCTTATGCGTTGGGACACCGTGCCACTGGTACTGGCTGGCATGTTTTTGGTGTGTTCTTTCGGGTATTTCAGAAACTGGCAATCCGAATGAGTCAAAAACTGTTATGCCAGAAGTCTAGTGAGGCAGTAGTGCTTTGAGTATGTTAATGGTCACTGTCACAGAATCTCTTCTCCTTCTGTGTTTAGTTACAAAGGTGCATCTTGAAGTCCCATAGACTTCCCTGGAGGTGGGGCAGCTGGATTGCACTCTAGGTTCCAAATCTCTGGATCCTCCTCTGGGCTCCGAATTTCTGCCAGGTGGGACTGGGCTTGTGGGGGCCTTCAGCTCACCTCTGACTGCACAGGGAACCTTCTCCCTCTGGCTCCACAGGGAGCCTTCTGCCAGATTCAAGCAGTCTTTATTGAAGAAAGGTCCCTGTTCTAAAAATGGCACTTTGGAGACAGGCACACTCTTCTGCGCACCCAGTCTGCCCCAGCCGTGGGTGCCCACTCCCCCTCTGGGCTTGGACTGCTGGTCAGAAGGGGCCTGGCTTGGGTGAACTTCCCAGCTCACCTCTGACTCCTCCGGGAGCCTTCTGCTGGTTTCAAGCAGTCTTTACTGAAGAAAGGTGCCTATTCTATGGGGTGTTGGTGATTTTATTTTTTCTCAAAAGCACAGAGATTTTATAAGGTCATTATATATCCTAATGAAAAATGATACTCAAGATTCATTTTTGTGTGAATAACAAAAAACAGAACAAATTTTTGATTTGGTAGAGATACTTGATATGCATAAAGATATGTGAAGATATAGATTCAGATATATGTAACTAAATTTGTGTAGATATGCTTATCTGTGTGTGTGTGTCCATGTGTAGTGAGTTCCTTTCAATAAGTGATAATTTCAGGGGAAAATTGAACTGCACTAGTTCACATGCTGTATATACCTATAAATAGATTTAATATTAACTAATATGGTTAATAACAGTTATTCTAAATTGATTTCTTTATTTGGTTTGGTTAGTTCTCTTTTATTATCAACAGAGAAATGATATGTTCTAGCAGGAAAACATAAAATTTAATCAAGTAATAATAATATAATTTCAGAGGTAGAGAATGCCTATTTAAAATTAATTTCATTGTATTATGAAACTGTCAACAAAATTTTGTTCCCTTGACATTTCAATTCAAAGCTTCAAAATTCTCACTGTAATAAAAATTTTAAGTGACTTTCATTAAATTATTTTTTTCTTTAGAGCCTGAGTCCATATGTGGAATTGTTACACCACAGGCACAAAAGAAAGAAAAGTGTACAACTTACATTTGAACCTTTTTTTTTTTTTTTTTTCAGAAAGCAGTACTGGAGGAAAAAATGGCCACAGTGAATCAATAATATTATTAGATTCCTATGGATTGATTCCATTTTAAGTATATTATGAACAAACAATTAGAATATCTAAACAAATAAAGATACCAGTTTTGTAAAAACTTGTGAAGTATTACTGATCACTAATATATTAAAACAAAAATCCCTATATCCCTAAATTTTCTGTCCAAGTAGAAAACATTGTACTTGATGAATAAATGCTAGAATTATTTGGGATAGTTTTTATTATTACTTATTGAAGATTTACTTCAATATATTCTGTGGAATATTTCTCAAATATTGCGAAAGTGTACTGACAGTTCTACAATCAGACATTTCAAGGAGGTGATGAACTTGCATTTTTAATAGTTTCACTCATCTGTGGAACAGAAATAATGACAACAACCAAAAAAAATAATACACAGGCAAAATACAACAGGAACAAATCCTGGATTAAGTGAAAGAATCTATTGATTATCAGAAGGAACAGGTAGGAGGGAAGAGGGGATGTTGGACTGAGGTGAATGGGATATTGGCAGGGGTGATTTGGTGGAGGGTTAATGCCATTAGAACATGTGCACAGATGGAGGAGGAGTAAAAATGTAACCCCCAAAATAAAATTAAAAATTAATAAATATGGGGCATCCCCAGTGGCGCCGCAGGTTGAACACAGCACTGTGAAGCTATCTGCAGCCTCTTAAGCGTGGGTTTGATTCCCGGCCTGCCAGGGAGAATCCCACATGGGGCAGCAAACCTCTCCTGTCTCGCCCGCTGCTCCCCTTGGCAGTGCTTTCTGTCCATCTGCCTGTTATGCTACCCACTCTGTCTCTGGTGAATCCTCTCACTGTCCTGCCCCTCTGGCCTGTACCCCAGCTATTGTATAAATAAAAAATAAATCTTAAAAAAATAATAAATATATAAAAATTAAAAACAAAGAATTGGAGCACATATTCTCAACATGAAAAAAAGCCTCTTCAAAAAACCAATGACAACATGCCAACTGATATTTTATTGAACACTTTTCCATTAAAATTATGAATAATCTATCACCATTTCTGTTCAAAGTCAAATTAGAAGTGCAAGGCAGTACAAAAATGAGAGAAAAATGAACAAACTATTATATATTAGGATGCAAGAAATAAAGTGAAAACTTTGGATTGCCAATCTACACAATATAATTGTATGAAACATGTGTATCATATATTATGACATATACCTGCTATATATATATATATATATATATATATTTTAAGATTTATTTGTTTATTTGTACACGCACTGGGTACAGTCAGAAGCGCAGGAGGGTGAGAGAATTCCCCAGAGCCAGAGAAGGGAACAGAACAGGCAGACTGACGAAATACACTGCTGAGGGGACCAGCGGGAGCAGCAGGAGAAGTCTGTCGCGCCATGTGGGACTCTCGCTGGTGGCCGGGGATCGAACTGGAGCTGCAGAGGCTGCGGGCAGCTTTGCAGCCCAGCGCTCAACCGCTGCGCTACCAGGGGAGGCCCTATTGGTTTTGTTTTTCAGGAAAACCCTAATGCATAAATCAAATGCATTTTCTGCAATTAATGATATGAAAGAATATAAATGTATCAATTTATCAATGTGATGTAGATAAAATCTAATCTTCAGAATAACTATCATCAAATAAGCAATTATACCTTTTAGTTACCAGAGAGAAGCACATTGAAACAAATCTGTCTGAAGAGAGAATGTGTAGGGAACAATGTCTCCTGAGCTGAATGACTCTATTACTTACTCATTTTCCCCTAATAAAAATTCATTCTTAGTCCACAATCAAATATTCTGCTTGCAGTTTTTATTTAATTCTCACTTTATCAGCACCATTTAAAATACTGCTCTATTTGCACTTGTAAAATCAAAGTGCTTATAATAAAATGAAGATGGCCCTAAATTTGAATGAGACAGAGAGAGCCTACATATAGTAGTAGTAACTGTGCTCATATTCTTTTTGGTTAAATTATATGCAATCTTAGGTTTTGTGTAAATTCCCATTAAAATGATGAAACAATGATATATCCCTTTAACAAAGTTAATTAGTATTGAAAACACTGTTTATTAAGTAAACCAAGAGTTGCTTGTTTTTGGTCTGTATGGGTAACAAGTGTATTTTATAAATCTGTTAGATCTCAGGTATAAAATTTGCTTTTTGGTGGAATGAAGTATGGTACTTTATCATCTTTCCATTTATATTTGGGAAAGATTAAGGTGGATTTATATACATTATATAAATCAGTAATTATAATTTGTCTTTAATTAAAGTTATAAAATTCTTGACTAGTTTTTCTGTATGATTTTTGCATAATCGACAATATTTCCTCAGTGACGGTTGTTATTTTGATTTAAATGTCATTTTAATGAATGTGTTTTCCTTTAAATTTATTGAAATTCTAGAAGCAAAATATTCATACTTGAAAAGACATAAGGAATGATAAAAGAACATGATGATCCTGCAAAATTGTCTTAATACACCATCATTAGTATCTAGCTATGGATGATTGTGGCACTATCATTGGCAATGAGAGAGAGGGAGTGACTGCAAAGAGGATAAATATGATGGACTGAATTAAAAAAATAAATAACTGAAGCTTAAGTAACCCTTACAATGTACTGGACACCATTTAAATCACTTTACACAAATCAATGTAATCCCCAGTCCTCCAATATTCTATTTTTGTAGATATTACTAAAACTGTGGTCATGGTTTATTTTAAGGGAAAAAAAATCAGGGCTTGTTTTGTAAAGGTAGTCAAAGCATCTATTTTTTAAAGGATTCGTTTTTATGTCATCCCTCCTCCAGTTCCAATTTATTCCCCCCACTTCCTACTGGTTTTTGCAGAAATCCCTTCTTATTTTACAGATACAGCAGACCTTCACCATAGAAGACAGGAATTAACAGGTGTTTTTGAATGATGTACATCACAGCATGACAATGACTACCAGAGACACAGAAGGAGAGTGACCCTGTGACTTCTGAACCCTCCAAATTCCCTGCAGATCACATCAAACAGTCCTGAAGAGGAACAGGTGACCCATGCAAATACATAAACAACTTTAATGATTGGATACAATGAATTTCTTATTACCCTCTTTAACCCATCTTGTCAATCTACCTTTTGAAACTCTGACTCCCACAACAGGTGGGAAGGCAGAAATGAAGCAAACTCCTATCTACATGCTGTCTGGCCTGTCAACAGAGTTCCTTCCTGACTTGTAAAATATGGTGTCATTGTCTTTAGCTTTCTTTGTGCATCAGGCAGCAGACCCACTTTATTATTCTAATTTTATTGATGAGAAAGTTGAAGCAGAAAAAAGTTCGATAATTTTCCAATAATTGTCGATGTGTGAATTAATAACAAAGCTAGGTTCAATTCCTGGTAGCCTAGTGTCAAAATATGAGTTGATAGATAATATACCTTTGCCTTCAATAATATACATTGCCTTCAATGTTTTGGGGGTCATTCATCTATTCATTTACAAAGGCAGTATTTTCATGTGCCTCTAAATGTCAGAGATTGTGATAGACACTGTAATGGAATGCATTTAACAAAAGTTATCTAGAATTCTGCTTCTTATAGTCAGCATCAATTAGATCTTCATAAGTTAGTGATCAAAACTGGTCCTGCTATGAACTGAATTGCCTCCTACTATTCAAAATTCATATGCTGAAGCCCTCACATACCATATGATCTCATTTGGAGATCAGGTCTTTGGGAGGTAACTATACTTAAGTGAAGTCATCTGGATGGGATTCTTATGATGGGGAATTGACCTAATTAAAGGAGAGAAGACAGAGCTTGCTCTCTCATTCTACCATGTGGAAACACAGAGAGAAGGTCTACAGCCAGGGTGTCCTCCCAAGAAATTTGATCATGTCACCTTGAATTTGGACTTCCAGACTTGAGAATTACAGTAAGTTCTTGTTGATTAATTCATCGTCTATAGTATTTTGTTAGGCAGCCTAAGCTAGTCAAGACAGTCCATTAATCGGTCCAGTGTTTGGTACCATATCTTAGGAAAATACTCCCCAATTTTTACATTTTTTTCATGCAAATTAAAACTCACCTTTTCAGAATACTGCCTTTGGAGGGTTTTTTGTGTGTCTACTTTGAGTGATTGCTTCATGACAAGTATGATTGGAGTGCAAAGAGATTTTGATCTGGTACTATCTGGTATGATGAACATACCAAATAAATTGTAGGAACAGTTCTAGGCTGGTTTACTAATAAATCATTACTAAATTTGCATCATAGAATTTTATAAGTTTGCAACATGTTTACAATCAGTTAACTAGACAATTACTTTAGAACTGTGAGTCTTAGATGAGATAACAATTTCTGAGATGCTGGTGCACTGTGTAGAAAAAAAATTAGAGTTTTGAAGTGTTCTGGTCACTCTTTCTAAAATAACATTGTAGGGTAAGGTAAAAGGTATCAGGCTTTTCTGCCCTCCTGCCATTAGGATAGATGACGGAACCCTGCGGTCCTGAATGCATGCCTGATGGCGGACACCTGGAATAGGGTGTGGGCATAGGTAGATGGGATTCAACTGGGCTTTTAAGGGCAGTGTCATGGGGACGCCAGCAGAAGCCAAGAGAGAGAAGCAAGAGAAGCAGAAGCCGAGAGAAGGCCGGAGAGCCCAGAATGAAGACCTGCTGGGGGCTGGGACGCCTGCCAGTCTACTGGCCCCCCAGTGCCCCTGCCTGCCGTGTACCTGGTAATCCCAATAAAAACCTGCAAAACCACTGAGGACTCTGACTCCTCCCTTACCCAGTCTGCTGGATCAGAAAACCTGCACTGTGGTCTTCCTGACCCAACAAACATTCAGCATATTTCGGTGAAAAACTCGTTGCCTAATGGAAGTCCATCTTCTAGATCTAGTGATTAAATATTATTGATCCAATTTTATATTAAAAATTTTAAAAAACTGAATTAATTACTCTGTGCTAAATCTAGTTAACTTCCTAAGGAGGGAAATATACAGAAAGAACTGGAGAAACTGGGAAAGATGATTATTCCTATGTACTGTCAAACATCTCCAGATGTGTGTCCCTTGCATGGCAGAGTAAATAATCCTTCCCATTGCAAACCATGATCGTCTGGAACAGAGTATGATAGCAAAGGGTAGATTAGCCTTGCCTCAGCACTCCTGTTCAATGTCCTATGTTGCTCAAAGGCAGAAACTGTTGAATAGAACCACAAGACAGAGAATATGTAAGACATAATTCCCAAGCTCTACCTAAAGAAGCAAAACAAAAAATGGTTGAGAGAGTCCAACCGGTGCCAGTTGTTTCTAATGATAATCCCGCTCTCTTTATAAAAAAAAAAATATAGTAACATTAGTTTATAATAGTACTTAAGTTTTATGGGTGTAGCATGATAATGCAACATCTGTATATACTACATGGTGATCACCACCTATAATCTAGTTATCATCCTTCACCATACAATAGATCATCTTTACCCAATTCACCCACCACTTTTGATCTCATACAGCAGTAAAATTCTCTTTTCATAAATTCTACTTAAAAATGGGCTCTGTCACTTGCAAAATATTTCTAACTCATACATTGATATAGCCATGTTAGCATATAGTCTGAGAAATACCTTCTGTTTAATTTCTTATTATATGTCATAGATAATTGTCAATATCTTGAGTAATAAAACACATAGTGCACTTCTCAGGGATTATTATAATCCTCTTTATGTGACCTAGCACAACAAGACAAAATTCTCTTCCTTAGATGTGATAATGTGTTACAGATAGAGCATTTAACGTGAATAAGTTCCATGTCTGTGTGTGTGCATGTGTGTGTGAGTGTATTTAGAATAGAACAATACTCTTGGAATGTAATAGAATTTGGACACAATGAATTTGACAGATTTGAAGATATCTAGGTAAAACAGAGAAAATTATTCTCTGAGGTTATCTCACATTTCAAATTTCTTAGGATTTTTCACTATGGAAAATAGTCATTGTCTGTCAACCATATTTATGTGTCACTATATAAGAGACAGAGAAGCAGGTAATGTAAGATATATATAAATGAAGTAGAAGATTTTTACACTTCACCCTAATTCACAAAATGAGTATTGGGAGGAATTTCATTTTTAGACTGACATGTAAATATCTTGGAAGTTGTTATTTCCATCTTGGTATAAGACCCCAAAGCTGAATACCATTCTGTTTTGATTTCTATAGCTTTATACTGTAGTTTGAAATTTGGACATATGCTGCCTCTATTCTTTTTAGTTGGCATTGCTTTAATTACTCAGGGTCTTTTGTGATTCCATATAAAGTTTAGTAATGACATTCTTTTAAGAATGACATTGAAACTTGACGGAGATTGCATTGAGTCTTGATAGTTCCTTTGTGTTTTTTTTTAATTGCTTTGACACCTTATTAGAGGTCTGATAAATTCATTTTAGTCTGCCTATAATGTGGTTTGTCTGATATTTCCTCATGATTAGATTGAGGTTATATATTTGGGGAAAGAATAATTCAGAGGTGATATGCCCTTCCTAGTATATTGTATCAGTGATACATTATGTCAGTATGTTTTATTACAGGTGATGCCAATGCTGATGACTATGAAGGCAGTGACTGGCTTTTGTGTTGTAATTATTCTGGGAGTTATACTGAAACCATGAAAATATACATTTTCTCCTTAAACATTTGTAATTAATTTTAGTTTTCTTTGTTGGTCTCACCATTACTATTGTCGCCTTCTAATGACAATTTTCTATTTCTTATTTTTCTCATTCCTTTTATACTTTCTCATTCCTTTTATAGTTACAAATTCATAATTCTTCTGTAAGAAAAGATAACACCCTTTGCATTTATTCAATCATGTGCGTATGAAATAATGAGTAATGTTTTGCTCTCTGGAATATAAATGGTTATATATTTTACATATAATATTTAATGTTTATTTATTTTATGTATTTAATATTTTATTGCTAAATTGTCCCATTTTGGTACCTTGGGAGCCCTTCAGGTTGATTCCTCCTTCATCCTTTCTGCATGCCTCCCCACACCTTTATTAATTGAAAACTTTTTTCAACAAGAAGTTCTAGGCACATTTTGTGTTTTCTTTACTCTAGATCTTGAATCAAACACTGTCTTGCATGTTGTCTACTTTTTCTTCTTGATCATTTAAAGTGTTTTGTATATTTACAAAAAAAGCAAAGCAAAAATGTCAGAAATTTCTAATACTAATTCAAACCTAATCTGTTTATTTGGATTGCTTTGTCCTGAGGGGTTTGTTACCTTTCATTTTAATATGCTTCATTTTTTTTGTTGCTGTTCCAAACCAGATTATCTATGTAGAGAATGAGATAAATGATTTATAAATTGAAGTGCCTTTCCTAAAGGTAGTTTCCTAGTGAGGGATTCCGAATTAATCCAATTAGAACTGGATCTAGTGCTGGGGAACTACTTGTTTGATGTTGTTGCTTTAACATCTCACATGCTTTAAATTTCTCTAGCAATGGCTTGTGTTTAGAGTAAAGACTGGTTTGTCAGAGTGTTTCTTTTCAATGCAGTGTGTCCTCTCACTTTTAGTGCTCCTTTTAACTAACAAAGGGTGTATCCCATTGTTCTGCAACCTTCCCAAGCGGTATGTTCATCATCAATTCAGGCAGCTTGAGAGAGAATCTTGGAGCCCTTGGCATTATCCCCACAGGTTTTCCAATAGTATGCAGGGGAAACAAACCAGGAAGGAGGCAGCAATGTCTTTCTTAGCTGTTCTCTGGCGCTCTCTACCACTCTCTACTGCACTCTGCCTAAGGTCTTCTGTCGCCTGCCATCTGCTGCTGTGACACTTATATGCTCAGTCTCTGGGCTCAGGGGTGCCCACTCACGCATGCCCACACTACACTCCAGGTGCCACCATCAGGCACGCGTGTAAGATCATAGCTTTTGATCATAGATGCTAATGTGGGGCCTGGGGAATAAACATGTTAACTTCCATTTACCCTACACCCATGCAATTTAATTTGCCACACAAGTGTTAACTTTCTTCTAAC